ACGTTTAGCTAAGTGTTCCTAATTTAGAATTTTAGGACTATTCTGGAATTTCGTTTGTAACCTGTCAGAAAATTTTATTACTATTTTCTTGAAACTACTTTGATTATTATAATAATATTTTTATTTGGAAAAAAAATATAAAAAAGGCAAGAGCAATAGGATAAGGTGATATTCGCCGATGGGTTACGGGTAGCTGTTGAATTATTGGCTAAGGGCAAAAACAATGAAGTGATTCCAACTGCGGGCCCAATTGTTACTGATACGGGAAAATGATAATAAAACTACACAGAAGTTAAAATTTTCTGTTGCAAGGACTAATTTGCCCCTGTCATGACCAAAATCATCTTCGTCCCCTTGCTTTCAATTTGGTGAAGTTTCGAAGATCCCTCCCTCCTGCATCGAGGCAGGTAAAAGACAAACTCTCTCAATGAGGGCGCAGTAACCGGAGGACACTAGCACATGCATTGCCAGAGTTCTGTCGAAAAAACAATTGCAGCAGAGCTGACGAGTCTCTCTCTTCCTTTTTCGTTCTGCGTCCCTTTTTCTCTCTCTATAGGAATCCGGACTTAACCGAAGGATCGTTAAAACTGCGAGGAAAAATCATTCAACCGCGGTCAATTTTTAACCAAGGACAAGGATACCGCCTGTCACCGGTCACAATCTTTTCTACCGGCTCGACCGGTCGAAGGTAAGATAAGGCCCGTCACAATCTTTTGAAGAGGAGTGCTAAGAGCACTCGCCTTCTGCCCTCTCCGGCCAACACTTTCACTTTTATTGGGCCACGTTATTCTGGGTGGTAAGAGGTTGCAGCTCAAAGCCTGAAATTTATTTATTTTTAGCATTTCAAGTTATCCCCACTTTGCTTGCTTCGTCTTCTTCTTCTTTTTTTTTGATAAAAGCTTCGTCTTCTTCTTCAGTTCTAGTCTTTGTTTGCTTTGGTTTGTCTGTTAAAACAAGGAATACCCCAAAAGTAAAAGCAGTGGGGACAGACGGGAACAGGATAATAATATAAACAAGTTGGTGAATTATTGCGCGTATGCTTTTTTACTTTGGGCCTTTTCATGTGTTCGCTTGTGAGAAACATTAAAGACATAATAAATATTTT